TCGCGCAGGGTACTCTCCTCTGTGATAAAATAACTTACCTGCTTTTGTTGATAGTCTTCTGACTATTCCTCCATATACATATGGTTCCTGAATCAACGCAACATGTATGTTGGGGCTGTGGAAGCCCTTGACCAGCACGTCGGAGGCGCTTTTACAGTGCTGGATGTTGGCCTGGATGAAGCCTACTCCCGCCATTATTGTTTGGCGGGTGCAATTTTGGGAGCGGCAGTTTTGCCCTTACCCTTTTTTTCGGAACTAACCTTACCTTTACCCTTCTTGGGGTCCTTGGCGGTTCCGGAAGTTCCAGGTGTTGGTTCGGGTTCTTCTTTCTGTGGCGTAGGCTTGCCGCTCTTTTGCCTCAGGGTGATTTGCCCGAACTTGTAGCTAACCTTATAGTTTGTTCTTTTAAGGTTCTCTACGGAGGGATGGTCAACGGACAACGTAAGAAAGGCACTGCTGCCTTCGGTCGTCCTTTTGAGCACCCTCCATTCGTTGGTGTTCAGGCCTTCGTTTTGGCCTTTAACAATTTTTAGAATGCGGTCTGATTTTTCATCCGCACTGTTGGGGAAATAGGCGTTCATGATAGTCGCTCTAGGTAGCTCCTTTTCATCGATAGCCATTAGGGATGCGCCCTCCCATGGTTGTAGGGTTGGAGTTACGGACTTTATCCAGTCCGCTGTTTCCTGGTTTTCGCAGTTGACTACCAGCCATCCTGCCTTAAATGTGGTGCCGAGGAACTTAGGCTTGATGTCGCCTTCATGTCCCTCGCTAAGGTCCACAATTCTTGAGATGATGACCTCTTGAATAGCCTGCATTTGGGCTGTTGTGAGGTTCACCTCTGGAAATAGGGAATCTGCAATACCCATCTTTTTACCTTCCAACACCTGCTTGAAGCTGGCAGCTGTAGGCTTTTGCCCCTGCGGATGATTGCCTCCGCTAGGAGCGCTACGCCTTTCAGTAGCAGCTCGTTTGGTGTCGAGCCCTTTAGGCGTTGTGCTTTCGGAGCGAGGTCTCTTAACCCTCTTCTCCTCCTCACTGATGGGCTGTGTGGCCTTTGCTCGGGCTTCCTCGAGAGTCAGCCCTTGTTTGAGCAGCCACCTGAGCCTTTTCCGTGCTGCACCACTTAACTTTCTATTCTTTGACGTGGAGCATAGAGATATGCTCTCCTGAAGTTCGATGGTCGCAGACGTTAAGACGCTGCTGGCACTGGAGGAAGTGGGGGACAGTGTAATGTGCTCTGCGCTTTCGCTGGTTGAAGGCGATTTTTGCCTTGATGCGCCTGGAGTTGCATCTACATCTTCTATAGTTTTTTTGTTACTCTGTTCCATGAAAGTCCCACGAGTAGCTAGGGAAAGGAGGTCCACCGCGACAGAGTCCCGCATACCGCAGTAAGAGGATTTTGTTGAAACTGGAGGTCCCCAGGTATCCAGAGTCCGCTTATTAGGAACCAAGTATTTCCCTCTTGGCCAACGCAATTAACCGATAAAAGTCTGCGGCATAAGCTGTTCCACCTTGACTTTGGGGTTTTTACTGAGGTTGTCTCCTCTTGATCCGGGCGGTTAAGCCAAGATCCCCCGTGCTGGACTCCAGCACATGGTATGACGGTTGCTGTAAACAGCAGCCGGCGCCGTTACCCTTCCGTGCAAGTCCTTAATCACGACACGACAGCTTGGACAGGGCCGTTGGAGTGCCATTTAGTTAGTGAAAGCAAGCGTGCAAACTATTCTACAAGCAGTGGCTAGTAGCGCTACCAAACCCACCAACTTCCATAAATACTTATGACAAAAAATTATGAACGTGATCATTAAATCTTAGAAGAAATTACCCTTTCATATTTATTATAGCCGATGTTAAAAAACCAATTATCGGTGCTGATTTTTTACATAAATACGGTATCTTATTAGATATTAAAAATCGTCCTTTAATTGATTTGGAAACCAATCTATGTTCAATACGTTTAATCCAACGAACTAATTCAACTTCACCAAAACTATTTTTTATTGAAACGAAATTCACACAACTTTTAAAATGGTACTCAAAATTAATTTCTCCCCCAGATTTTTCTTCACCAGTTATGCATTCTACAAACCACCATATCATTAATATTGCTAAAAAAAATTTGAAACTATGGTATCTTTAGGTATTTTTCATCATTTTCGTCCACAGCTTCTTCATAACATATGGTCCCTAAAAAAGTGTCCAATGATTGGGGACTCTGTGGAGATTATCGTCATCTAAATTTAATAACTGTTCTTGATCGTTACCCTCTTCCTCACATACAAGACTTCAACTTGCATTTAAATAACTGTACAGCACTGTTTCTTTAAAAGAGCTACAAAGATTCTTAGGTATGATAAACTTTTATCATATATTCATTCGTTCATTCATTAGCACCACTGTATAATTTAACACCTGGTCTAAATTCTAGTAAAGACAAATCAATCTCTTCATGTTCAAACAAACATGAACTATCATTCACTCAAGAACTTCTTACTTTTACGATAACACTTGCGCATCCATCTATTCATGCGTCGCTTTCGTTAACTACTAATGCTTCAAATATAGGTATGGGAGCAAGGTAAATCGAACATTGTGGCAGACACATTGTCACGAATCAATGTCGATTGCCTTGAAGATCAATACCCAAACTTACAGATGATTAAAAATGCTCAGGACCAAGATCAACAATTACCTTATTTAATCAACAAACAATCAGCTTCCAAATGCAATTATAACTAACTTATATTTTTATCTGAAACAAAAATTGCAGGCTAAAATTTAGTACTTTGGTGCGACATTACTTTGACATCCCCTAAAATATATATACCTTAAAAATATAGAAGAGTAATTTTTAATAAATTTCATTCTTTAACTTATTCAGGTTTTCGTTCTACATTACACAGTGTTAAATCTCGCTTCATTTGGCCTCATATGTCAAAGGACATACAATTTTGGACAAGAATGAGATGTCTCCAGTAGCAGAAAACAAAGATCCATCAACATACCAAATCCCTTGTTGAGAAAATATCCATTCCTAAAGGACGATTTCAGCATATCCATATAGATTTATTAGGACCTTTAGTATCTTTAGGATGTTCTTATGTCCTCACAGTAATCGACCGCTTCACACTTTGGCCTGAAGCTTATCCTATAAATGATATTTCATCTTTGTAATAATACTACTTTTGTATTGTGAACTATTAATTTATTGATTAACAACGTTACAACAAAATGGCTGTTCGCTACTTCGTAGACGCTAGAAGAATGGTGACCGCGTCTTTTCGCGAGTCATCGTGTTGGCGTGGTATTGCATAGGCAACTTATATAACAATCTTCTTCAGTAGCAAACACTCTTCTCCGTGAATATTTTTCCAGAATCGGCATACCACAATCTATCACACTCTTTTCACAATTTTACAAGCTCAGGACTCTCAAAACCGCCATAACAACCATAGGAAATGTCGATAACCTTATTTTAAAATTGTCATTTTGAATTATTTACAGTTTACACAGTTTTTGCTATTTTTGAAGACTTGAAGAAATTATTAGTTTTTTGTAAAAGATCTAGTTTACGTTATTTCAGTTACCATGATTTAATTTATAAGTACGAAGGCTTTCACGGCCGGTGTTAATTAAACTAGAACTAGAACTAACAGTAGCACTATCATGTAGCATCCGAAACGTCAAACATTTTTTCAAAAAACACACGGCTTAACCCGAAAGTTTCTAGTTGTAGGTCTAGTGTTAGTTCTAGTGATAGTGCTAGTGTTAGTTCTAGTTTTAGTTTAATGATTTTGTTTATTATTTTCATTATGTTTTTCGATTTTGTCAATGAAATAGAACATTAAAAATCAATACGTATTTATTTCATTGTTAGAGTTAGAAGTATTATTTATAATGAATACTAACTCTACAACGGCTTACAAAAGCAATCATTTTTCACATAAATTACACCAAATGGTGGTCATGTTTGTTATGAAATAATATTGCATTATAAAAAACATATTGAAATATGTTCTTATTTATACTGTAGTTAGAAACGTGGTGTTATATCTCTCCTTTTTTATTTATTTTTTTATTATTTTATTGATATTGTAGTAATTCAGGCTGATACGAGTATCTGATAGTATCTGATTTCATTAATAATGAAAAAATATGACTACGTTTTTACCTGTCAGTTGAGAATCGATATAGCTCATGAAATTATCGATAAAACTTCTTACAAAGACTTATTAATGCGATCTTTCACTTAATCAATAATAATCTATGCCGTAATATATCTGGAAAGTAATAAAATTTCCATATCCATTCCAAAATCTCATTTTAAAAATTCACCGATAATGATAAAGACTTATTTAAAACCATATTGTTAATGAAATTGAAGAAATTAACCAACAAATCGATACAATATCTGATAATCATTATTTTTGGAAAAAAGAAAACATTTTTAAAATATTTTGATCGACATTGTACGTCGTTCCGAAATTTTACATAAATTATCTCTTAACGTACTTTGTATAACCAAAATTTTAATTATTTTTGAAATAATCCACGATTGTCAGTAGCTTAGTCGCTATGCATTTGATAAAAAATTGAAGAACCAACGCTTGAAAAAATAACAATAACAATCAAAGTTGAATCGTAGAAAAAGACACCCTTTTGCTGTGAACACATTCGACAATGAAAATATACTAAAAAAAAAACATAACCGCGATCATAGTGAAGAAGAAGAAATAACCTAATGTGAGTTTGAATATTAAAAAAAAACTAGCAATTAAAAAAAAAACTAATTTAATCAAGTGTATAAAATTGTTTATTAAAAATTCGTGAACATTTAAAACACTAACTGAGACGATAATCAGAATACAAAAAGGAAGAATAAATTAAAACAATCGATTTGGATTTGGACATCTAGCGTGAGAGTGTGGAATCACCGAGGATTTAAGTTGATAGAGGAGGCGTATATAGAAACCATTGTTTGAAGGAGAAACAATTTACTTGTAATTAAGATAAGTCT